TATGAGATAAACAGTAAACAAAGAGATAGACAACAAAAGAAAAATTTCAATACTGATTTAATGTTTATGATGAATGTAATGAATGGCAAAATCGATAGGGTAATATTAGATGAGTATGGATTTTTTCCAAGTACGTCATACGTGACCAATAAACACACCGATGATAGCAGGAGTGAAACATATAAATAGCGGAATATCTTGCCTAACGAAACCATTCTTGCTCTCGTTATTCTACTGAATAAGAAGGAACATAACAAGTAAGTTATGGGAAGAACTATATCTATTCAATCAGTTTTCTCTTTACATTTAATACAACATTTATAGTCGATATGGTGGTTATGAAGCTGAATCGAATTACTTGTCTATTAGCGATTATCATCGTTGGAAGTGTCATTACACAATCAAATTGTTTTGATGTTAGGAGTTTGGACGCAATTAAAATAGACCCGAAACGTAAGAAAACTGATATCAATCTAATTAGAATAACAGTAAAATGCTCAATTTGAGAGTTATTGTTTGGTCTACTTAAAATAGTGAATTTGATTTTTATTGAAATCGAAAAATTCAATAGATTCTCTGTAAGAATCATATTCTTTGAGAGAGATGTGCATTTCTTATACAATAGTACAATGACTAAGAAGATTTTTGAAAATATCGTTGCTAATAATCTCATTTAGAAAATTTGCTTCTCCAATTATGCAAAAATAACATCTGATTAACTGATATGTTTATTTTCCTTTGACGAGTATTATCGAACCTCTATTTGTAAAGCATAATTGTCATCGGTCAGATTTCTGATAGACACAGACTTTCAAAATTAGTCAATTTTTTTTGAATAGATATTTCGTTTCATTCTCGTAACCGCTCAGAGCACAATTGGTGATTAATGACTATTATTATTTCATGTCATTTGTTGAATTTCATGAGCACTCGAAATGTAATGAAGATAATGTTGAAGAAATATCTTATTTCGATAATCAATGTGTTTCTATACTAAAAAGCTTATGAAATTATAATCATTCATATAGATTCAGCATTACAACACGATGAAATAACTCGACATAGAAGTCATTCAATACATCAACTCTTCAATTCGTCAGCACTAGCTGGTACGGATACAGCACCTTTATCTAATATTTCATATCATTTTTCGTCTCAATACGGTGGCTATGTAATAACTGGATCTACCAAAGTCTATGTTCTGGTGAGTATTTTCATGTCATTTCTTTTTTATTTACTTAGCTGCATCATTTTATGTACAGTATTATGGGACTTGGACCAATACTCAAATAAGTATTATCAACACCCTCATTGCGAATATAGGAAATACAACATGGTTCAACATCCAAAAGACTTACTATTATCAAGCTACAGACACAAGTCCCAAAGTAAACACAGCAGGTCCACTCACTCTCGGAGGTGCATGGATATTGAGCTCTGGTTTGGGAAATGCACTTACAGGTACGATTATACCAAATAGATTCATCTACTATATTAACAATGGAATATTGCCAAATGATCCAGGTGGTATTTATTTGTGGCTCAACTCTGCAAGTGTAACCGAAAGTAATTCAGTGATTAATGGATCTTTCCTGACCAATTATTGCGGATATCATTACCGTTTCCAGATTACAGGTATAAACTATATGTATGGGTTTATAGGAAATGCAGGACGGTTCATTGGACAAGGTTGTGATCCCTCTGCGATTAACCCTACTCTCTCACCTAATGATGATCTCGGTGTTGACGCCATGGCAAGTATCATTGCACATGAAATAGTAGAAGCAATGTCTGATCCATTCGGAAATGCATGGTATGATTCGAATGGTGCTGAAAATGCGGATAAGTGGTAAGTATGGAAGTATAGTATTGTTTATGATATGTTTAGTACATTTTTCTACGAACTTGAATTCGAAAAAAATTCAGTGAAAGAAAGTCTTTTCGTGATAATTCCCTTCATATATTTTTATTTAACGAAAATCACACATTTTGAGAAATGTTTTGAGAGAAAAAGTGTACTGGTTAGATTTCAAAAGAACTGAGTGAATGTAGAGATAGCTGACGCTAACAGTCACTTACCCACCTTCACACGCGTATCAACATCTACACTGTAGAATTGGCACCTTCCGCTCACTAGGTGGATGCCCTAGTCGCTACATCATCATGAATTATTCCTTCGTGTTACAGACTTAAACACTGCGGCTCTCTCACATAATTTTTGTTTCAAATCCAACAGGTTCGATCAAAATAAGTTAAATATAAGTCCAAAGAAAGAACGAAAAAAAAATTATGCTTCAATGAAAGTGTATCAAAGTTTTCGCAAGAATTTAGCTCATAAGTCGGTACTATTTGATGCGATTTTCAGTGTGAATTTGTTCTCTAGTTATACTAAAAAATTAGAAATAGGTGTTTTGTTGTTCTGAAAATATTGCAGAAAACATGTGCAAAAATGATTAGTTTTTGTGACTATTTATAATGATATGATAATTGTTTTGCACATAGCTAAAACACCAAATTTGATGGACCTGACTATTTTGTTTTATTGTCAAAATCTATGTATTCTCTGGCTAGAATGAAAAAAAAATCTCAAAGTATCAGTTGATCCAGAATAAATGTATAGAACAATTTTCATACGGTCATAGAGGAAGAAAAAGCATTGAAATACTAGAGATAGTGAAAAAGAAATTTTCCGTGATATGGTATAGAAATACATCCAAAACACTAGCAAAATATCCACTCTATTGATATCTATTGTTTTATGTATGTTCTATAATACTATGTTAAATAAAAGTTAGTGGATCGATTTCTGGTCTTATGTGTCTCCATCCTTTGTTTCTAATCAGTTTCAAATATCTCCATTTGATCATTGATTCTGAGAAAGTATCGAGTATCTGACTTTGAAACATGTTCAGACTGAGAGCTATGACATACATGAATTCTATCGTATTTTTGTTCTTAGACTAGTTAGTTTTTTTCTTCACTCGAATGGTCAATATAAATAAATCAAAAGAGAACAACTTATTGATCGTTTGAATTACAAAGAGAATAGAGGTCTGCCGAAATAGCATTCTAATAGGTAGCAACTTTTACGAAATCGAAATTGAACAAAGATGTGTTTCTTCTAAATGAGTTTGGTCTTTCTCTGATAAATGAATATTCGGGTCGTAATATATGAAAGAAATTGCAACACCAATTGCTCAGATTCTATCAAGAAAGATAGATATGTTAAGAATGTAATTGACTTTGTAATTTTAGTGCCTGGAATTTTGGAACTGTTTCTCAATCTCCAAACGGAGCTAATTATAACCTACTTGCTGGTGGCCGGTATTATCTTATTCAACAAAATTGGAATGCAATACTTCAGGCATGCGCACAGTCCGCCTAAATTATTTCTTCGTATTCATTTGGACGCAAAAAAACTAATTTTTGTTAAAATAATCTTTGCACTAAAATTCTAACCCGTTTCATTTGAAAACAATAAATAATAGTAAGCATATAAGTCTTCATTTTTTCTTTTATATATATATATATATATTATACAGTAGTTGATTTATAATCGCATATGCATATCGACATATCTAGGCATCACGAAATTTCATTCTTTTGCATTGTGAGACCTACATCTGTCTCACCAACAATGAATGCAAATTCGCTGAAATTATTATTCAAGATGTAGACTATTGAGATCTATCTACAATGATCCTCATTTAGATAAACCTAGTTTCTTCAAAAGGTATCGATCATTACGAAACTTCAAAAAATGGAAGTGTTTCTTAGGATGAAGTGAGATTTTAACATGTGACTACGAAACGGAGTGACGTTGGAATAAATGTTAGAAATGAAAATTGGTCATTTTTTTACAAGCGTACATAATACAAGATGATCTTTCAACAAGTATGGTTGTATCAAATGAAAAACTACAAATGCTGCTCATCAGGAAATTTTATCGTTTTTCACGTTTCAATGCGAAAGGATTTAAGAAAACAAAAATTTCAACTTATTGTGACGAAAATAATTTGTTCTTTGGAATTTTTGAGATGTACAAGGATAGTTGTATGTTTCAACTAGTTCAGTTTTATTATGAAAACAAAATCAGATCGCCATTACTATTCATATGTCTTGTGAAAAAACAGTATAGTAGCAGATAAGTAAAGTTAACATCCACGAGTTCTATCGAATGGTGAAATTATATGTCCGATATCAGGAACCATTCCTGTAACATTCGGAATATACGAGTTTTTTCACATGGGTCCTAGGAATCTCTAGGAGTAATTGCAGTACTGATTCGCTCAGGAAGTATTTCAGATGTTCTCATTTGAGTTCCAATAAGAATCCAGCGACCTCTATCGAATGTCGAAATCAAGTGTCGGATATGATAAAACATAGCTGGAAAATTTCCAAAGTAGTGACTTTGTCCGATAAGCCCCTCGCAACGAGAGTAACAATTACAGCAAAGATTTTTTTTGTGGAAGTGTTTGAAGTGTTCTAATTTGTGTTTCAATTAGAATTCAATGTTCTCTATCGAATAGTGAAATGTATTTTAGGACATCTTTCGGCAATTCGTGAACAAGTTGGGAAGTGCCAGTTTTCCCTATGAATCTCAGACAATCTTTGGAGTAATTCCAGCATCGCTTTATGCAGGAAGCTTTCCAGATGTTTTCGTTTGTCTTAGAAATGTATTTTGATGATTTCTATCTACGAACTATGAGAAAAATGCCTGCAATACATTCTGGGCGCATCGATGGTGGAATTATTTCGTGGGTTTGCTGTGTTTTATGGAGAAACCCGATATTTTCCAACTTGCATACAATTGATGGAAGATATAGTAAATCTGATTTCACCATTGAATAAAGCATGTCGAACTCTGGTTCGAACCCAAATGGGAATACTTGGAATTACTGCAAGAACCCCTTATGATCCATGTGAGAAAACGATGCGTTTTCCGCTTTTCAATGCAATGGTTTATATAATATCATCAATCCGATTTCACTATTGAATATGGTGCACTGCACTCTACTTGTAGTCCAAGTGAGGACGTCTGGAGTACTTTTTTAACTGTGTTGGTGTAGGATTCACTCGAGTCATGTGCTAAGGTCACTATCATATGGCATGAAGGATGTGGTGTGGGTTTAAGCGGACAAGAATTCCCACACCCACACCCGTCCTGATGGGTGCGCTGGATGTTTAAGACTAGACGTGCCAAGTGATTTCGACGCTTAAGACTAGTCAAGTTGGGCGTCCTCCCTTAGTTTTTGTTCGCCTGAGAACCCACCAGGGGACCAAGATGACGAGCATACGGGCGAAAAACAGGATCGCCATCAATGTGATTTAAAGGACCATAGTACCAATCCAAACATTTATGGCATTCAGAACAAGCTTGTCCATTACAATATGCAACACTAATTTCTTTTCCAGCTGATGATGCGATAAGACTTGTTAATGACATATTGTATTTCTCACTTTTAAATAAACTACAAAATTTATTAGTTTTTACATTGATCAGAAAATTTCAAAAAACTATTCTTCGAAATCGAAGAGCAAAAATGAGCTGAAATTTATTTGACCTTATGAGAATTTTCAAAAAAAATATTTGAAAAGCATGTAAGTCAATATGAGGTGAAACTCTATGTATGATTAAAAGTTGAATTTATAGCTTAATATTGAAATTCTCTACTAGCGTAAGATTCGCGTTTCCGATAACTACACATGGTTAGATGAACTATATAATCATCTCGCTCTCTCTCTCTCTCTCTCACAAACATTCACGTTTTGAATTTCGAAAGAGAAATGCAACGAAGACAACCAGTATTTATCCAAACAAAAAACCCAACTTAATTTCGTTTCATTCATCCACTTCAATGGATAAATTCCCAGATTTTAATCGATTTATTCAGTTCTTATTCATATGTCAACCGTAACATAAGACATTTATCATGATGCCCAAGTTGTGTAAAGAAAAGTTGCGAAACCAAACCCACACTGGATCATGAAACACCCACATTCACATCGGAGACATGCAGCGCGTGCATATTGTGCAACAATCGACTCGTTCCTTCGTGGCAAAGATGACTCATTTTCGAACCGTCGCACATGATGGCCACTCCTTCTTTCCAAAGTGAAAAGTTTTTCTGATCTTTGTATAGCCTATACTAGTAGTATCGATCTACTAGCTACATTTTGAGACCTGATATTTACCATTTTAGACTTTACAAAATCAAATTTTTAATATAAAAAGTGTTGATTCCCCGACTTCGAGTTGAACATTTTCTACATAGATTAAAATATTTTAGGATGGGTAGTTTGTTTTGGTTCAAAAAAAGTATACCTTTGAAAAAGTCGTTTTTATAAAAAAAGAACAAAAAATAAAGATTTCCCACTGTAAACAGGATCTAATATATGTGAAAAGAAAACGTTTCAGATCGATATCGGAGAAATAAGAGGGGCGAAAATTAGAATAATCGGAGCTTCGATAGAGCCCATCGAATTCAACATTCTTGGATCCGGGCACCGAAACAATTTTCTCTCTGCGAGTACCCTTAAGCCATATATTAAATCATAACCGATAGATCAAAGTTTTTAGATCCAACGTTATTAACAATAATGGCAATCATGTATATGGACAAGTATTTGTAAAGCAAAATATTATAATGCTGGATAATTTATTCGTTTTGATATATTTATCATAGCGCGAGCTAACTGATATTGTTCACTAAAATAAGAAAAACTTGACATCGTTGTACTTTGTCTTACACAACACCTTTGCCATACAGACATTGTCTTTCGTTCTCTCACTTGAATCAACAAAACGAAAAAAGCAACAATTTGTGGGTCATTGTGAGCTTCAGTTTTGTTAATGACTCCGATTTTTTTGCTTCTGAGAATTTTTTCAGTGGGAATGATGTTCGATTATGTTCCAGCTTGGGTAACTTTTTTAAACTTTTCCCACCGCACCAGCATTGGGGTACATAATAAATTGACGTCAACCAACTGACTATTCACTTTTTAATTTCTTTTTTAGGAGTCGTTTATTATTAAAAATATATTATCACTGCATTGATAATAATATTCTTTATTTCATTTTGTTGTGGATTAAATCAAAGTATTTCTTACAAATTTTCAGAAATCATACAACAAATCAATTATACTATTAACCATTAAATCCAAGCAATGTCAAACGGAAGAAAATGTACATGCACTGTTCATAGTACTTGATTGTTTAATTTTTTTTTCTGCTTATTTAGCTCGAGCTGATATGAACTCGCCTAAGTCATCCAAACAATCAACTGAAGCGTCAAATCAAAGTATTGTTTCGGAACGTTCGCAAAGTGAAGTTCTCACACCAGTTGAAGTACTGGCCAATCTGTCATTGGAATCAGCTGAATCCAAATTGAACAAAGCCGCTCGCTCTCAAACTGAACGTCCACCAAAAAAACGACGCTTTGATACATACTCGGTTGTACCTGATTCGGCTGTACTGATGCCAATTCGGCGTCCGAACACATATGGTACTGTTGGTACAGCTATTGAAATATACACTAATCATTTTCCCGTTTCCATTGATGATGCAATCATCAATCAATACGATATTGAAATAGTTATGATACGTCAAGGACGACAGCCGTGTCCAGCAAAGAAAAACGAACGTTGGGAAGTACTACAGACATTGCGTAGACAAAAAAAGAATTTTCCTATTGTTTGGTAAGTTCTGTTGAAGTTAAAATATCAATATTTTCGTACTTTTATTAGGTATGATGAAGGTAAAAATTTATATACAAGAGAATTACTAACAGATTTTACGCAACCATGTCAAGTTAAATTAATGATTAATAATCAAGAGAAATATTTTAAATTTACAGTAGTTAATCTTGTACGACAAGAAAAAATCGGAAGTATTTTCGATTTTATCAAGGGAAGAACGACAATACGGCCACGTGATCCCATTCGAATTATAGAAACTTTGTTCAAACAAAATGTACATGATAAATACATTTGTGTACGAAATAAATACTATGATCGACGTCAACAATTACTTGATCTCAGTTAGTTTTAATTCAAATAAAAACTACAATTAATATCTAATCATTAAATTTAGAGGATGGACGAGGTTTGGCAAGTGGTTTTCATCAAGCACTTTGTTTAACTCATGGTGGTCCTACAATCAATGTCAATTTGGCATTTACATGTTTCTATCAACCGCTGAATTTTGTTGACTTTGCTTGCAGATATTTACGCCAAGACATTAAACAGGGAGTAAACGAAGCTCAACTCATAGGCATGGAAAAACTTTTTCGGAATATACCAGGTACGATGAAGAAATACGATTTCGATTGACTTTAGAATAATCTTTTATTTTATAGTGAAAACTATTCATGCCGGACGTCCTATTCAATATCGATTGAAACGCTTTGGTCTACCAGCCAATCAACTGACCTTTGATCTAAGACGTGACGATGATTCAGCTAGTGCATCATTGAAAAAAGAAATTACAGTAGCGGATTATTTTGCAAAAAAATACAAAAAATTAAACTATCCTAATTTACCATGTATCGATGCGAGAAACGGAGAAGAAGAACGAGCACAATGGCTACCTATGGAAGTCGTTCAAGTATGTTGTATTATCATCTAGCAAATAAAAAACATTTTGTTTTTGTTGTCCATTCGATATTGATGTAGCGCTCGAAGAACATCTAGAAAGATTTTTCAATTCCAGACCCTTCTTTATTGGTTTCTAACGAACAAGGAAACCTTCAACGTGTCCTCCTCATATCAAATTCAATAATTTTTTTGTCTATAGAGACTGCACGGGGTCCTGATGAAAGCTCTAAAAGGATTTAGGGTTCTATTATAGCTGCGTATGGTCGCGCGGAAGCGGCAGATTCTCAATCACAACGGACATCTATCATTCCTATTAAACTTTTACTGAGTTATAGAATTTTTTCAAGAGGTCCTCAGCTTTTGGAGAAATCGAATATTCGATTTCCTCGAAATCTGAGGACCTCTTGAAAAAATTTGAGTGTTTAGTCAAAACTTAATAGGAATGCAAATTCTGTTATAACCAGAACATAATATCTCGAGATAAAATAAAACTCAAAAGGAAGAAAATATAGTTTTCTCCATTGCAATAAAATCTCTTGATTGACATCAATGATTGTCTTTTCATAGATTGTCGAATGGGAACGTGCTATGAGACCATTGGACAGTGTACAACAAGCTTTAGTAGCGAAAAAAGCGATTATTAAACCTGATCAACGCTATAATCAAATTATGGATATTATAAATCAACGCAATTTCAATAATGATCCGTATTTACCAGCACTTAATATTAAAGTTGACGCTGGGGAGATGTTGAAAATTCGCGGTAAATAAGATGTTATTCTTTCATTGAAAGTTCTAAATTGTTTTTCTTTTTTGTTAAATGTAGCTCGCATTTTACCACCACCTCAAATAACATATCGAAACCAAGGCAATCAGAATGTTGTCGAACAGGTTTCACTAGGAAAATGGAAAATTCGACATCAATTTTGTTCAACATCAAATATAAATAAGTGGGGTATGGTTTATTTTGGTGCGAAACCTGACCAATATATAATGGATATTTTAAAAAATTTCGAAAAACAATTACCATTGGTAAGATAAGATTTTTTTATCTACTAATAGTCGAATAAAATTATATTTATTTTAATGATTCTAACAGCTACTACAAAAATATGGCATTAAAATCAACCCATATCTAAAGTCGATTGCCAAGCCGAGTCGAAAAAATGATGTTGATGAAGCATTTAAAACTATTCACAGTGAAGATTGGCAATTGGCCATTGTCATTCTAAATACAACAGATCCAGTCTATAATTATGTGAAAAAATTGGGCAATCAAAAACTTGGTTTAATAACTCAATGTACTAGTTTTCAAGCAATAGAAAGAAATTCAGAAAAACTTCATATGTGTATGCAATTGAAATTTTTGCTGTTTTTTTTTCTAATGTTTCAAAATTTCATTTGCTTAGATGTGGAAAACTTAAGTCAAAAAATCAATACTAAAATTGGAGGTATCAATGGTATCATAAATCTCAAAACAGCTCTTAATCAAGCATCGAATAACGATCGTTTCATGTTTTTCGGTGTTGACGTAATTATTTATTTACTTTTGAATTCATATAAATATCGATCGTTCTTCACCTAGGTCACTCATACTACTTCTTCAAAAGAAAGACCATCCGTTGCTGCGATTGTTGGATCATGCGATCCGTCCTGTAATCGTTATGCAGCTCGTATCTGTGAACGTAAATAATTTGCTCAAAATTTTGTTTCAAACACATAAATATTATCTTTTGTGATTTTAGAATATCCGAAGAAAAATCGTTGTTCTATTGAAATTATCAAAGATATGGACAAGATGGTTACAGAATTGCTTCAAGTCTTTGCTCTTTCATGCGGCAACACATTACCAAATCGAATCGTTGTTTATCGTGACGGTGTCGATGATGGACAATTTCAAAAAGTACTTGACAATGAAGTCAACAAAATAAAATCTGCTTTTCAAGGTAAAACAAAAACAAAAGAAAATATAAACAATAAAAATATATTTCTCTTTTAAAAATAGTTGTCTATGGAAAAAATCCAATGCCTCGTTTAACATTTATCGTAGTTAAAAAACGACATAATACACGTTTTTTTGCCTATGATGACCAGCGAACCAATAATATTGAAGCAGGCACAGTTATTGATGTTGATATAACACATCCGTCTCAATTTGATTTCTATTTATGTTCGCAAGCTGCGATGTAAGTTTTTCAATATCTACTCTATAACATTTATGTCTTTGTTCGTTTGATTAAAGTATGGGAACATCACGTCCAGCACTTTATCATGTACTTCATGATGAGAATGATTTTAGTAGTAATGATATTCAACAATTAACTTATTGGGTATGTAGATTTTATTTTCTTGAAATTTTTTTAAATACTTAGATTTTGTCAATAAGAAATAATAAATATTATTTTTATTTAGCTTTGTCATACAGATGCTCGATGTTCGAAATCTGTTTCGATTCCAGCTCCAGTGCATTATGCTCATTTAGCTGCTTATGCTTCAGCTGCATATGACTTCGACCAAAATGATGATGAAGTTCAAGAAATGTATAAAAAATTATCGGAATTACTATTTTCCTTTAATTTCTTGTTTTTTCTCTTTAGTGAGGATGATGAAAATACATCGGAAGAAATGACGCTTGAAGATATTAAAACAAAAGTAATGGTACTGAATAGTAAAATACAAGATACAATGTGGTTCGTTTAAGTGACATAGTGATTTTTTCATTTGAAAAAAACATGCATTTTTTTAATGATCATTTATTCTGTTTTGAAAATAAGATAAAATAAATTTTGAAGAACTATATTTATTCATGAAAATTTCTATCAATATGAAATTAGATATAAACGAATCGAACACATCTCGGCATTTTCACTAGAACACTTTCTGCTACAGTTTTCTAATTGTTCATTGGTGGCAGCTTTTTAAGATGTTGATAAAATAGAAAAAAACAGTTCTCATTGATTTTTGCTAGGAAAATTATGAATGAATCGGATTTTACCCGAAAAATATCTCGTGTATACGATGTGGATGAAGGGTATGGGTGTGTAGCTGTGGGTTTGGGTGTGGGTTTGGGCGTGCAGGTGTGAATGTGTGGATCTGGGTCTGTGTGAAGGAAAAATGTACCGACACCCACCCACATCCACCACACCCCTCTAATCTGTTTCATTTGAAACCAATAAATAATATTAACCATATAAGTCTCAATTTTTTCTTATATATATATATTATACAATAGTTGATTTATAATCGCGTATGCATATCGACATATCTGGGCATCACGAAATTTCATTCTTTTGAATTGTGATACCTACATCTATCTCACCAACAATGAATGCAAATTCTCTGAAATTTTTATCAAAGATATAGACTATTGAGATCTATCTACAATGATCTTCATTTAGATAAACCTAGTTTCTTCAAAAGGTATCGATCATCACGAAACTTCAAAAAATGGAAGTGTTTCTTAGGATAAAGTGAGAGTTTAGCATCTTACTACGAAACGGAGTGACATTGGAATAAATGTTAGAAATGAAAATCGGTCAGTTTTTCACAAGCGTACATAATACCAGATGATTTCTCAACAAGTATGATTGTATCGAGTGAAAAACTAAAAATGCTGCTCATCATGTAATTTCGTCGTTTTTGACGTTTCAATGAGAAAGGATTTGAGAAAACAAAAATTTCAACTTATTGTGACCAAAATAATTATTTCTTTGGAATTTTTGAGATGTACAAAGATAGTTATATGTTTCAACTAGTTCAGCTTTATTATGAAAACAAAATCAGATCGTCATTACTATTCATATGTCTTGTGAAGAAACAGGATAGTAGCAGTTAAGTGAAGTTAACATCCGATTGGAGTAAATTCTACACCGGTTAGACCGGGAAGTGTTCTAGGTCTTCTCATTTGAGCTCCAAGTAGAATTTGACGAGTTCTATCGAATGGTGAAGTTATATGTCCGATATCATGAACCATTCCTGTAACATTCGGAATATACGAGTTTTTNAACAAAGAAAGCGTTAATGGGGAGCAGGTAGGACAGTGAGTCATGTCCATTGAGATTAGGCCTTTATTGTCTAAAGGACGTTCAGATAGTGTCTAAAAGCTCAGTCAGAAACCCTCTTGGTGCCCATAGCACACAACTCTGCCTCTAGCATACGCGTTGACACATCTCATGTGCATGATTTGAACGTGTCCTGTGCATGCATGAACTTTGCACTTGTCACGGCTCCATCAGGGTGATTCCTGGTCGCAGGTGGAAGCGAATAGAATAAGCATTTTCTTAATCAATCAGCATGATTTATTTGAAAAGAGGAAAGAAAAAAATAATCCATCGTAATGAATCTATTCGATAGACAACCGTTGAACACGATAATTGTAATGATTGACGATATAGAGATCGCCATGTCGATCGAAGAACAAACCCTTGGGACCCTCGAATTGATTTGCTTCTAGCCCCAACCATTTCCACTCACAATGACAGTGTCCTGTGTTGCTCCTTTAGGCCAACGTATCACTCGATAATTGTCCAAGTCTGCCACATAGAGGCAACCCAATGTATTGGCGCACAGTCCGCTAGGATGCCACAATTTTGTCATGGTGGATATGGGTGTGCGTGTGAACGATTCTTATTCCAACTACACGCACCCACGTACACCGACACCCACACCCATACCCTTGTTGCGAAAGTACGCAACTTGCGACATTGTTGTGCAGAGCAACCGATCAGAATATTAGTGAAAAATATGTGCCAACAAAGAAAACACTGATCATGACAAACAAATAGACACGACGAAATATTAACGGAATGAATCGATGAGTATGCAACCACATTTTGGAATTTTTTTTCAATAGTTTTTTGCTGGAAAGCTCGTCGATGTGTAGAAAACCTGTTAAAAAAAACTGACAATCTTTCATATAAAACTCTCGAGTTCGAGGTCATTTTCTCGAAACGTATACATGTTTACCATATGTATTACGCATCCAAGCTATGAATAACCTATTATAAAAGCCAAGAGGCTCATTTTGTTGAATGAAAGCAAAAAAAGAAAAAGCTAATAATATAACTTCCATAGATATCGACTTTTATAACATTTAATAAAAGAACAGAAGAGTAATCACTTGCAAAAGCAGAAGAAAGGTGCACTCATGTATGTTATAATAAAACCGCTGAGGACAAAGGCGCTATATTTTATATTTGCTGCACCTTTTTTTTATTGCTTTTACAACCTCGAAACAAATAAGCAATGGTGATCTAGATTTTTGTAATATTCAATCTGATTTAGCATTAGGTTTAATAGTTTGTCTACAGAAAAAGTGCTGCGCTGTGCCGAGCAAATGTTACCAACACCACACCCTGCAGTTATTAATGCGTATACAATTGCAAATTCTTTTATTATTTGTGCCTCATTAATTAGCAATCTATTAAGTTTGCAAACATTTCTTGCGAGTAAAAAAATTCGTATAACAAATTGTGGAGTATACTTAATTTTTTTTCAATATTCTGCCTACTTGTCAACGTCTGGATGTCAATAAAAGTTATGAGATTGTATTTCAAGATATTCATTTTAATATTTTGCAACACGACGAGTTTTATCTTCGGAGAATTACTTTACTCTTTACATTGGATAAATAGTTTCATAGCGGCAGAACGTTGTCTAATCCAGTGTTACGATTCAAGTTTGTATGACAGCCGAATAAGACGTTCTGTACCCTCAATTAGTGCTTTAATCGTTGTCCAAATAATTGTAAATAGTTTTCCAAATATTTTTTGCCGTCAGAGCAGTAAAGTGGCGTTAAACGCCTGTGTCAGTGATCTAACTTCAAGTGGCAAAAAGCTAGTGTTAGCAATTGCGTGTATTAACACTATTATACCTCTACTGTTATTCATGATTAGCGGTTTCTTGGTCTTACGTCACCTGAAGAAACGTTTAGAATATATGAATGATGAAGAACTGAGTTACATGGATATAATTTATCACTGTAGAAATCATCGTGATTTCTTTACGCCTTTACTTATCTACACTGCTTGTGTTATTCCAATCTCAGTATTTTATTTAATACAGTCTAAATTTCTGGGTGATCCAAATGAAATCGAAGGCGAAGAAACAGATACCACTTTAAAACACATATTCGATATAATCTATCATTTCGCCACTGTCTTAACATTTGTAGTCTATGTTTATGCAAACAAAGTTTATTGTGAAGCATTTTGGAATGAATCACCAGTTGGCTGTTATCTGAAAACATTAAGACGGCTAACACCAAGCAGAGATAAAACTGATATATGGTTTATCGATATAAATAACCGACATTTCTAATTGAAGTTACTTAGCTAAAATGTGATACTTGACGTTGGAATCTGCAATAAAAAAACGATCAATATCTATTTGAAACTTATATAATCGAAAGAATGCAGTTTTATTGAAAGCTTCTCGCTTTCTGCCAAAAACCTTGATGGGAGCATTGAACCTCTCTGTAATAATTTTCTGACTACGCCGCTTTTTTTTCGAGGACAAGATTAAAAGTCATCATGGCTGCCATTGCTCCCAACCAGAGCCTTTCAGCAGTCTATAGCACAAATTCCGGTTATCAGCTTCATTTATTGCTCCAGCAAGATCCTTTTTCAATGCACTGTAGAAACCTGTTTCCAGTGTATAAGCTTTAGACACGTGAGTGTAATCTTTTTCTTTGTGTCCTAAATTAAAATAGAAAAGAACTTGTTCGATATGATGCACGTCCGCAATTTGAAGGCGTTCTGGGTAGGAGGATGAAATTTCAAGACATTTAAGAACAGTAGATATTCTTATCTCTTTCAAGTAAAAGATTTCGATCAAAATAATAAATATGAAAATTAGCGGATGATAATAGTTGGAAAGACTCAATTCTTCTTGATTTTCTCTTCTTTGCGAAACAAGAAAAAACACCTTCATTGAATTAAATTGTTCCTCTCACACTGAAATGTTTCAAAACGAAAGCAAGATGAAGTAGAAGAATTATCTGGGAATGATTTGTTTCGTTTAATGAAACGATTGATCAGTTCTAATACTTCAATGCAACACATTCTGATGTGTTTTTCCATAATCAAAGATGTTCAATGGATATCGAGAAAAATCTTGTTTTCCATCATGAACTATGAAAGGTGTGGGTGTGGGTGGGTGTGAGTGTAGGGTATAGTTGAAAAGAAAATTGACATCCACACTCACCCACACCCACCACACCCTACACCCGTCCTTGGATAATTAAAATAAGGTAAGATACCTGGGTGCACTTTTAACAGTAAAAACTTTATAGATAGGTTGGCAAACTTATATGCTAGTAAACAAAGATAGAAGCGTTTCTAGCAGTGCTGTTGAGCAAATATTGGACTTCAAAATCAATTGAATGCTATCATAATATATAATTTTCGATGGAAAATAATAAACAAATTGAAAACCTTCGGAACAAAGACCGACAAAACTTTAATATTCCAAAAATAAATGGATTTTTGGCTGATTTTTCACATCAGTTGAGTTATTTCACACTTTCATCCACAGCACTGTCTGAAATATTAAAAAGCGCATATTGGTAATCAGCATATCAAACTGTTTTTCTTGAAAATGCATTCAATTTTTGCAGTGTTGTTCGGACTTCTTCATAAAGAATTAATTTGAAAAACTGCTTGTGTGACCAAATTCAAGGATAGTTTGCAAATGACGAAATATCTTTCAAGAAAATCTGTGTCATTTGAAACTTTCTTGAAGACCAAATGAAGTTTGGCATTCAAAGTCGGAAACTATCATCTTTGATCGAGTGTGAGTCTTTTTCTTGTAACGTTTGATCTGATGACTAAGTTTCAATTCATTTGGATGGTAAGATCATTTCTTTTTTGTTTTTTTTAAATATTCGTTGATGAAATTTAAGGCTCTTGAAGAAGCCTCTTTTCAAAAATCGGACATAACTGACGGATAAGAAGAGATACGACATTTGCACGGAGATTTTTCAAGGCAATACTCAGGTGGAATGAAGCATGAGTTACGAGCATGAGGAGCCTTATCATAGTATATGATAGCGATAGAATTTTTTCGGTATTCTGAACTGAAGACAAGTGATAAGCGACTGAATGATTCACAGCTTTTTCAGGGGCTGGTAATCAAACAAACAATGATTGTATTTATTTACAGTACATCGAATTCATGCAATTCTTTACCTCCTCTATCTACAACAAACATCGATAAATACTCATATACGTTCGAACACAATGAGACATATATACTAATCGCTAAATATACTTGAACAATACCGACATGGTAAAAAAAACTGTCTTAGTCATATTGAAGTGATTTGAAATAATGTCTTTAGTATTACTAGGTTTTAAAGAAATCACTATCATGATGAGTACTTAGTTTAATGCAAATGTACATCGAAATGTTGGCGCTCTGATAATATTGGATTTAATAGATCACTGCCTTGTTTGCAGATGAATTGATCTTATGGTTTAATTCGGTACAACAATTGCCTGACGCCAGCGCAACTCTATAATTCATTGAGTTAATTTTGGAAACTGACTTAGGCAAATATACGGAATGAAAAAGCATACCAAGTAGTTCAAATCAAGCAAATAGTCATTCTGAATTTCGACAAGAAAGTCGCTATAGCCTAGTGAATGTACGAGACCAACGATTACACATGGTGTCCAAGCTATACTAATGCGTATTGAGTGGATATTTTTTTTGAATAACTTTTGATAGAAACAAGATAGAGAGCTACGATTTTTATCGTTCGAAACAGGAAATGAAGTTGCATCGAATCATATATTATAGGTTTGTTGACATGACTTTTTTAAGATTTTCAATCGACCTCTTTGAAAACAAATCTACTCTGTGATGTATTCACAGCGAATTCTCAATTATCAGGTGTGTATTCAATTGTCTATGAAAGATCTAAAAAACTGTACAAGGTTTAGATGTTTAGAATCAATCATTAAAGAGTTATAGATGTTTTAGTCGAAATTCTCAGTGATTTTTCTAGAAATTTCTGAGAAGAAATAACAAACCATTTGTTCAATACTTAGAAATTGATTGAAGAAACTTCAGATAGCGTCTAGGTAAAGGTATAATATGCAATAGAATGTATCTTCATCTCCGCTTTCCATCAGTGAAAACCACAGCTCTCTATCTTGTTTCTGTCAAAAGTTATTCAAAACATTTACACTCGAATTAGTATAACCGTTACATATGATAGAAAAACAGATCTTATTGAGATTTTATTATTATGATATTAGTCGAAGAATGATCAAATAGAATGGAAAAATAGAATTTTTTTCTCTATCAGACTATAAAGAGAGAAATTTCTTAAAGCTTATTATACGGTATTAAAGTATGAACACCCTTACTTTTGGTATGCCCTAAGTATTTTAGCCACTATTTTCTGTTATTATTAATTAATTATAAAGCTCAAGGTGTGCAATTAATTTCATCGGTGATACATACGTATCGAATTTGTTTTAGAGTGTGGGTGGATGCGAGTGTGAACAAAGAGAAGAACCACTTCCACATCTCACACACCCTTTCTATTGTTTTAGTAAAATTCTTCATTAATTTTCCAGTTGAAGATGCTGCAGTACATTTTTTATTTCATTATTCTTACTTTCTCACTGAAGAAGATACAACAGTGTAGACGTAAATAAAATCAATTGCTAACACAAAATGTTAATTGTTTGGGATGTTTGTTTGTATAGTTTCTGCATCCACCACCATTGAGAACGGGTACAATTGTGAATGGTCCTTGCTTATTACATTGATGTAATTTAGCAATTCCATAATTTAAGTATTTCTCCGATGTTACAACACAACAGTTATCCGAAATTGTTGTTTTATAATTTAAGCCAATAAATAAATCAGCTATACGAGATAAAATTGTTTCTGATCCAAGACTATAACCATTCGAGCATTGTCCTCCTATACCGTCCAAATAATAGCAATGATTTTGATATAAAACTTCATTTGATGAACATGGATATATTGTTCCAGATGATGTTGATGTTGATGTTGATATTAAGTTCGTAGTTAAATCTCTAAACCAAAATCATTAAATTTGTTAACAATTTATCTGCTTATGACATAAAAACACTGAATCATTTTTGAATACGTTAATGACGAAAGAAGATACAGAAACGTAGAACTTATTTTAACATTTGATAGCCAAATGTTGAAACTATCCTTTGTTAAAAATAAAATTTTGAATAGTGTATGATAGTAACGTTTGTTTTCAGATCTATTTTACGAAGGTACAGCGTACACATTGTTGAAGAAGATAAGAAATTTTCGTCACCAACATTGTTCAACAGCTACTTGCATTGATGTTTCGATATTGACATTGAATCTATGTGATTTTTAGCATTCACCTTTTTGTTTCACAATCAGTTATATTATATGCGATAGATGTTATTTCGAATGCTTTTGAAAAGCTCCAGATCTCTCTTAAGTGTCAAGTCAGTATAAAGAAATCAATATTTTACAAATCAGAAAATGGCACTGATTTCTATCGATCAGTTGCTGATGAGCATTGCTCATGCCTATAGCAGTTCGTACGCCCATAGATCGTAACAAAACATTTTCAATTTTTTTTCATTTCGAGTTTCAGTTCTGAAGTTTTTCGATCCCAATTCGCTATAAAACTAGCTGACAACACTTACAAACATAAATCATCGATAGCAAAAACCTCTCCATTCCGGCTATTATCAATTGATGCATAAAATGTAATTGTGTCAATATCAAACCAGTTTAATTCAATCGTAGTTGAACGATTTTTCTCTATTTTAAATGATGTTTCCTTATAATATGTGGATGCACGTTGTGAAATCAGTGATAGTGTGAGATTATCCTTCCATGCAGATGAGACAACAAACGATTTAATATGAAATTTATTTGGTGGATCTATATGAATTGTCATTCGTTCACCATTCATATTAAAAGCCACCCATGTGCCTGATTTTACAGCTGAATAAAAGCCACTTTCGGACCATTGTGGATATATTTGTGTATCAAGTACATAAACATTCGCCCATTTTAAACCATAATAATCGTTTGGAATCTTAGAATATGTTGATGCATTTTCAAATGTAATTAAATTTGAATTCAAACAGTCTAAAAAGAATTGTTACATTCGAATGACATTAGCGGCTATCTACCTCACTAATACTTTCCTGTACATTGAACTTTTTATCTCACAAAGATACGCTGATTAAGTTTTGAATTTTTTTCCTTCATTTTTAGTAGGACTCTGTAGTTTCAAAGTTATGAAATAAGAAATTAGTTTTTTTCAGTTTAATCAAATGCCGTTCACCGATACAGACTTTAAAGATTTTTTTTCGAATATACTGCGTATTGGTGGATAGAGAATCTTTTCTCGTGCACCAGATATCAATCGCGGAAGTAATAGTCTCATGAGGCTTGTCAAATGCTTATAATGCAAGAAGAACAACTGAATATTGATTCACATCAATGGTGGTCGAAAAATGCATCCATCCAACGTTTTCATATTCCATAGCAGAGTGTAACAGCACCGTCTTATAAAACTCACTTGATGGCACTTCTGTCGTTGATAAAACCGCTTCTGTTGTTGTTGTTGTTGTTGACGACAATGTTGTTGTTGTATCTGTCGGTTTCACCACTAGAATTATTAAAAAGTCGAACATGCTGACAGTGAAAATCGAACATTTTTCTCTGCGACCATAGGACAAAATTTATGATGATAAAAAGCTTTTGGGATCGAGCTTTCTTAATGCAACAAAGCAAAACGATACTTACTTTTCGAAACGCATCGTTGTCTTACTTGTGACCAGATTAGGATTGCCGGGCAAGGTTTTAAATAGCTCTTGCCATGAACGCAATGCCAAAATGTCCGATGATCGTCCGGATTTTCGAACATGCCATTATTTATACATATAAACGTTCCTACAATAATTTTGACAAGAGAAATCAGGATATATATAACTACTCTGATATTCATTCTTATGATCTGTCTTTTTTTCCTTTAATAAGTATGAATGAATTGAAAAAATACTTTGTCTTTCCTTCTGCATTTTTCGATTAAATTGTTTTCCAGCTTCAGAATAGGTAATCGAATATCTGCACATATTAGCGCTTCTATTCAGTAATCCTATAAATATTCCATTTATTTTTGATCTTGATATTCTTTTATTCATTACAGAAATAGCAATAAAAAGTTCCATATAAGTACGACAGAACTATCTGCGTAAAACGAGTCATTCTCGATAAGAACAAAATTTTGTTATTGACGAAGCTACGGCGAATATCAATCATGCGACTGATAAAATGATTCAAAGCGTCATTGGAGATAATTTTCGCGAGAGTATCATATCAATTGCATCGATGCAATACAATAGCCCATAATTGTATATTTTTCTTTGCTTTTTAAGGAATATAGAATAGTCTGTTATAACTTCCATCCTGCCCCAGTTCCTATAAGCAGATACTTCGAGTTGAAAAATTACAAAGTACCAGTTTTCGATCATGATCTTGTAGTTCACCTGAACTGAGGCTCTTGTTAGATTGCTTCTAGAATTGAAAAGTGAACAACATCTTTTTTATGAAACAATGATTTAGTCTTATGAAAACGATCTATTGTCTTAGAAAAATGTACTCTGTAAACGGATATTCGTCAAGGAAATAACTATATCCTGTTATTCAAAAACTAATATTAAAGAAAAATTACAATAGCAAAGAAAGATTATAAAACATGATGCGATATATCAAAAAAATTGTGATAATTCTTATACCTTTGAAAAATATTCGTTTTCGGCGGCGTCGTAAACATTTTCAAAAAAGAAAATTAGCTCTACTTAAGAAAATAATCATCTCACGTATTCAAGTTTAGTCTCGGATACAGAATAGATGCACCTACCTCTTTTCTAGCATAACTCATCGTACTGGCTGATTTCAGAGCGGTGTTTTTTTCGAATGACAGACTAGTGTCGTGTAATAACTATTATAAACGTTATATTTTAGCTCTTCAGCCTCTGCTCTTGTACATATTTCGTTCCACTTCTGGATTGATCACGTCAATTCAATGGTTTCAAGCATATTGCTAAGATGACGGGAATTCAAAAGACAAGCATTGTTTTATTTTCGGTCATATTATATATCATTCAAAAGAGCATATCAACCTGACGATGAGTAACGAAATAGAAATTTGAAACTTTTAAAAGGCTTTTTTCATGATGAAAAATCTAAAACAACTTGAAAGGTCAATTGTTTTGAAAACTAAGTATTTTCTAGAAATCATACGATTTTTTCCAATTTCTGTATTTTGAAATCTGCATCACGACTAATTCTAAAAATGACTCTTGATTGTTTACAGAAAAATTATTCTTGTACATTTTGACAGCCAAAATCAGTGCCTTCAACAGGTTATTATGTCATTTTATAAATCTATCTAGTTTTTTTTATTAGAGAGTAGAATTTTATTTTTTGGTTGAATATAATCAGTGTTCTCATAGGTAAAAAAGTACATGTGGTGTTTATATAAATAATTTTCTATTGTCGAGTAAAATTCGCTTTCAAGCAAGATTGAACGATCCGAATGATATAAAGTCAAGAATTACGAAAAAAATTGAAGCAAATAAATAGAAACAACATTGTATTTTGCTTTTGTCATATCGGAAAAAGACTTTGGTTTAGTATTGAAATCAATAGTAATGATTATCACCGATGTTTACCGTATGAGATGTCTCGTGCTAAATGCATCTTTAATGTACCAAACCACTTCCTAAATGAAGTGAGCATTCTTTTTAGGATAATAATAGTTAGGACATATCAAAAGTATCGAGATTGATCTTATATAAAAGTACGGGACGCTCGAGACAAAATTCTGAGTGTGGATGTGGGGTGTGGAGCGTGACCGGGTGGGCGTGGGTGGGTGTGGATGGATGTGAATGTGGTGTGTGTGCAAGTGTTCTCTTCGTCCACATCCACGCTCACACCCTACACACTCTATTTTATTAAATTTTCTAACTTGTATAAGGGTGTGGGTGTGGACGAAGAGAACACTTGCACACACAGCCACATTCATTCACACCCACCCACACACGCTATATAACACAAATATTAATTGATCAATTTTAGTCGAAATTTTCGACTGAAACTAAAAATCCCAAACCTTTCATTTATTATTCCATTCATGATAAGAGTGACTAGACATGTGAAGCCTCTAACTCTTGATTGATTCAAGTTTAAAATATGAAATTGTGGTCCATGGCCCAACTTTTGACAGGCTTTCGAATGGATATAAAAAAAAGTAGGGGTCCAAAATTGTAGGATTATGCGATGTTAAAAATTGCCCAATTTACTCACGAAGACTCTCTTAATTTACTTTGATATTCATCAGCTTCGCAATGAATACAAGCTTTAATCAGCATTACTTCAGTTACACAAGAATTGGATTTTGATACACACTTGGAAATCTATCTTCGAGTCCACAATGTTCATGACGCCGTTCTTTTCTCCGACAAAGAAGAAAGCAAATCATGAAGCATGAAAAGTGAATCCAAATCACGAGTAATTTCTGGGAACAAAACATCATATGAACCATGATGCATATAATCGAAACTAATTTGTAGCAATGTTTACGAAAAGAATAGGAGGCAAAACCATAGTACAGAAAAAACCTATAAAATGACCAGAAATGTCAGTTAGATACATAACTGTGCATTTGGCTAGTTTTATTCGTAGACTAAAAATAAGTTATTTAAACACTTCTCTGTTGTGACATTTATATCTTCTGAGGAATATAAACAAGTAACGTTCATCAGGAACGGAGTCACTTGACCCCAAACAAAATATTATTAATTTCTTTCATTAAGCCATTTTAGGCTCATTCGCAAATAGAAAATATAAAAAAACACGTACATTAGTCTAGATGTCAAAATATCACGGAATAAGAAGAATTAAGCACAGAGCTGTAAATTCAGCAGTGACCCAATAATCAAATTCATTTGCACTCCACCAATTGAGAGTGAAAGAATAAAAGAAAGCAACGACGAAAAGACTTCTTACAATTGCAAAAGCGAAAAATCATGCAGAATCGGTCGGAATTTATCCAAAAAACATATTTTATACCAATTCACAGATATTAAATATTGTCTCGCAGACTCTACACTATTCTATCAAAGAAAAATCATCTATTTCCTAAGAATTAAAGAACCATTAAAGTCCTACAATCTAACAGTGAAGAAAAATCCAAACGGCCTAAAAACTCTATTTGCTTTTTTTGTATTGACGTACGAAACACCATCTGACCCTTGTTACGAAAAACATGCCATACTATCTGTAGCTTGGTAAAAATACCATCGACATCAGATACATTTTCTAGTCGAGTGACGGCTCACTTTTCCCACAGTCTAATTCATCGTCTATCACGAGTCCTTCTTGTAAAAAAAAAGCTTTGCCCTCTTATTAAAAAAATATACAAAAACCGCTTAAAAAGTTTCCATTCAACCAACCAGACAATGGTTTTAATTTCAATCGGCAGACTCTAGACTGCTCAGTCTAGGGAACATCTTTTAATGATGCCAATATCCGTAGTCGATAACAATTTTTTAGTAGAATAATTTATTTGTAAGTTTTACTGAGACTAGGTAATATGAGTAAGATCTTACTTTCTTGGGCATACAGAATTCGATTAACTCCTAAGGGAATTCATAGCCGACGGTAATATTTTATTTCTGTTTACTTGTATGGAAGGGTACTGTAACGAACAAATGGGGATGAATGGCGATCTATGCTATTCGGTACGACATTTATTTGGTTAGATCACCACTCCAAGTGTGTTCTCTCTCGTCTTACAAGGGTAAGTGGGTGTGGAGTGTGGCTTTTGATCCTCTGTTCACTCACGCTCACATCCACACCCTACACATCCAACAATTTTAAAGAATATTTTTATACTTTTCAGGAAACAAAAAACATTTTTTTTGGGATTATTTTGCATTCTGAACTGAACAATAAAGGTATCTATTTAGATGGTGGGTGTGGGTGTGGTCGTGTAGGGTATGGGTGAAGAGATGATGCACACCCATTTTATGGCTCTATGCGTGCTGAGAGAACATCGAATAAACTGTTTCACGCTTTCGAAACATGTTCACCGAGCAAGAAAAGAAAGAAGTGTGCGAAGCGTGACCAAGAGCGTGGAATAGCCCTGTCTATTTGCGTTCCTTAATGCATACAGAACACTGCGTGCTTCATAAGTTTGATTTCAGATATCTGATATTTCCGTAAAACTTCGTTTCTTATAATTTTCTCACTTTCACTTGAAAGTTAGAATGTAGAATCGAACTTCTCTTCGGAATTAGATCGACAATTCGAACGTTTTAGTATTGTATCACTTTAGCTTTTAGCTCAGTCAATAATATCTGATAACAAAGATCGAAGAAAATCCTGTGTTTTTTTTTTCGAATATTATTCAAGGATAATAGCATGATAGAAGTCGTATGCGTATCTGATCCATTTGTGGTTTCTAGAAAAACCTGGATGAAATATTATTTTCGTTCGTAAGATTGTTGAACTGTAACAGTTCAAAGATAAAAAAATGAATGAACTTTAGAAAAGTTATGTATTTCTTTTAGTAGAAAAATGAAGAAAATATATTTGAAAAATATTTATTTGCCAGCATTTGTGTTAA